AGTACCTGGAGGTCCCAGGTTCAAATCCAAGGAGGAATAAAAATCCCCTTGTGGCCACGGAGGTTCAAATGCGGTGACTCCGGGCTATCTGCAAAGCAGGTGGTTGCCCTGGGATTAGTCTGCTCGCATAGCGGGTTGGATATCCAGGTTAATAAAAAAATGCAACATTTATTTTAGGATAAATTGAAGTACAAATATGGACACTTATTTTGAGACGATGAGAGTGAATTGTATTAAAATACTATGTTTTTATAATTATATATAGGGGCAAGTTCAATCGAGAACCGCATTCCTATTACGAGCCGAAGAACCACTTAGACTAGTGTCATGTATCAAAGACATATCATGAATGTTGTAAAAAATTACGTCCATTATTCATGATGAACATCGACAAGTGATGAGCTCTCAACCTTTTCCCATTCGCAATGATAACACGGTTCTCAACAGAACATTCCTATATATATATATGCACACACACACACAAACATATATATATATATAGGAAAAAGATCGTGCGAGAAGGAGAGTTAATGTGAGAAGCGTAAGAAGGGATATCCACTCTTGGATGCACATTAGAATGAGATGCACCAGATCAGTCCTTGTATCAAGCACAATTCATGGGTGAGTTTGAGATTAAAAGTGATCAAAGGTTCATATCCCTTCTTACGCTTTTCACCTTAACACTCATTCTCACACGATCCTTTACCTATATATGTGTGTGTGTTTGTGTATAAAGTCGTATAATGGTGGGTTCAAACAATAACACCCACCATTTACGATAACACCATTTTACCACGTGATCAAGGAGTATTTTTAAAATTAAAACTAGGGTTGTGCGGGAGACTTGGCTAGTGACCTAGGTCGGGGGTGAAGGTCCTCCCGACTCTCTGATATCGTATCACATGTGATTAACTACAATATCTCATATGATACAAATATTCTCATGTTTTTATAAATTTCATCACGTATGATTAAATTAACCAATATAATTTATATTGTAGTATAAATTATATTGCAATATCTACTAACCAAAACTTTATGATATCGTATCACGTGTAATTAACTACAGTATCTCATGTGATACAAATATTCTCGTATTTTTATAAATTTGTTATTAAGTATAATACGAAAATTATGTATAAATATTTATATGTATAGCATAAAAGTAACATATGAATATTTATAACTAAATATTTTAGATGATTTGTATTATTAATAATTAATTATATTATGTAAAAAAAACTTTAAACATCAAATACAACCTCAAGGTAGCATTTGGTATGTAGACATGAATGAACATGACTGGACATGATAGAACTGGACAGGACAAGCAGGTAGGACTGGACGGGACTGGACTGAAGAGAACAAGTGTATGTCTGGTGTTTGGTAGGATTAGGACTGGACGGGACAGAACTAGACAAGTTACCTCCAAAAGTTAATTGATGATTTTAAATGTTATATAATAGTTATACTTAACACATGTGAAGTAAATAATTAAGAATTTAATTTATAAATATTTTTACACAATTTTAATATAAATTAATACATTCATATATAATGATACCAAATTTGAATGAAAATTTTGATATGATTGATGGTAGTTGTGGTGTTGGTGGAGGTAGTAGGTGGAGGTGGTTTCGGTTATGGCGGAGGTGGTGGTGGTCGACGGTAGTAGTGGCGATGGTGGTGGTGGTCGGTGGTGGTTATGGAGGTAGATGCAGTGGTGATTGGTGGACGATGGTGGTTATAGAGGACGAGAAGATGGTGCAGGACGAGAAGATGGTGGACTGTGGTGGTGATGAAGGTTTACAACGATGGAGGAGGTAGTTGTGGTTGATGTAGCGAAGATAGTGGTGGTGGTGATTATGGTGGAGGTGATGTGGCAATGAACGGTGGTGATCGATGGTCGACGGTGGTTGTGGAGGTCGTGGAGGAGGTTGTTGCAATAGAGGAGGAGTTAGAGGTGGCCAATGGTGGTAGTGGTGGTGGTGGTCGATGGTGGATGGTGGTTGTAGAGGTAGCATTGGACAGTGGTGGTCACTGGTCAGTGGTCGACGGTGGTTGTGGAGGTCATGGAGGTGGTTGTTGCGGTATATAAGGAGTTGTAGGTGGCAACAGTGGTAGTGTTGGTGGTGGTCGATGGGCAATGGTGGTTGTAAAGGTGGCAATGGACGATGGTAGTCGGTGGTTATGGAGGTGGTGAAGGAGGTTGTTATAGTAGAAAAGGAGTTGGAGGTGGCGAACAATGGTAGTGCAGGTGGAATGGACGGTGGATCAGTGGTTGACTATGGTAGAGGTGATGATGGACGATGGTTGTGGAAGCGCTGGAGGTTGTTGTTGTAGTGGAAGAGGAGGTGGAGGTGGAGATGGTCGCCGGTAACATCCATTGGTGGCGGTGGCCGAAACTAGCGGTGATGATCATTAAACATATACCATATTAAGGTTATATTAAACTAAGGTGGATTAGTAATATTTTTAGTTTATGTCTCATTATTGTCCCATCTTGTTCCACTTATTTTGGTGGAACAAGAAAAAGTCACTTTTGTCCCATGCTGTCACACCTTGTCCCAGTTCTTATCCTTGTCTCATGTTATGCCGAACATGTGACAGTGAGTTCTTGTTTCGTCCTATGTTGTGCCAAACATGGGACAGTGAGTTTTGTTTCATCCTATTCTGTCACATCCCATGTACCAAACGCAATCCAAAGGTTTTGATTAATAGATCATGTGTCTCGATAAGGCTCGAGAAATAGGACTTAGACACATTTCGCTCAACGACTATCTCACAATGTTTGAACCTCTTTTCTTAGCACCGTATTTTCCACATTTATATATAAACTTTACAACAACATTTAATATATTTTTATTACATTTTTTTTACTTTTAAACCAATTTGATCACGTTTCACAAAAATATACTTTCACGACAAGGAAAACATTTTTTAATGAAAAAACAACGACTTAAAATAAAAAGAGATAGCACGGGGACTGATGCAGCGAGATGCATCGATTAAAAGCAGACTCAACTAGCAACCGAAAGAAATACAAGAAAACGTAAACAAGATTAAACGAACAAACAAACTAACAAGAACCCGAGAGCAATCAGAGGTTCAACTGGGATTTTGAAAGGGAGTCGTAAGCCAACTGTCCCACGGGAATCCTTACAAGAAAAGCATTTAAAATAGTCGTTAGAGCCATAAATAAGAAAGGCAATAAAGTAAAATTACTTGTAATAGTAAAAGAAACAAATAAATATTTTCTTAATTAAATTTTCTAAGCTTAATGTATTTTTTTTTTCTTTTTTTAATTAATACATAACTGATTATTTTCTTAATATGTATCTTATGTGGGAATCTTAAGCCAAACGATAACCTGCCTAAGTTGACGAAGAGCCTTTGAGAATCTTTTTTAGAGGTCACTGATTCGAGTCTTACAAGACCACTGAGGATTTTTGTTCGTTATTTTTAGAGTTCTTAAGATTAGTCCGATATTGATAGAAGTCATTTTCTCTTTTTATAAAATCAGATTCTAAAAGTAATACTGTTATATGTGTGTGTCAACATTTAACACTTTGCTCATCTTTGAATTCATCCAAAACCAGTTAAATTGTTTTTTAAGTATCAGAATTTGGTGTTTTTTATAGAATAATTTACGTAATTAATCATATTACACAACAAGTAACATTCTAAAGTCCGGTAAAAAGAATAACAAAAAAGGGAATATATATTCTAATATATGGCTTTCTTTCTAAAATATTATATGATGCATCAACTGATATAACGCAGGCGAAATATTTCAACCTGATGTTTTGTCGAGTTGTAAAATCTTCAAACTGTAGGTATTTGTTTGGAATTGAGTTAGGGTCATTTCAACCCAACTCAACTCAATGAGCTGATACCTTTTATTTTATGGATTTAATATGATTGTTAAGTTCTTTATTTAATATGTACATTAGATCATTACACTATCATCCTCTGCATATAAATATATTATAAATCTCTTTTTCATCTCTATATAACCTCCTCTTATTATATTCAGTAAAACATATCATATATATGCAAATTAAGAAACATAGTTGCATGTGATTTACTTAAGAACGGGTATGGTTAAGTTGTACCAATTGATTGATGGTAAATAAAAGAATTATGAGTAAAGAAAACATCATATTCAAGATAATAAGCATACGAGAATACATTGATGTACCATAGTTTCAACTCGAGCAACCCGATTAACCTAACACAACTCGTACGGTTTGGGTTGGGTTGGCCGATTGTGTTATGCTTTTGTCTGGGTTGGATTGAGATCTTTCAAACCGCAAACATTAAGTTGAGTTGTTTAAATTCCTTTCAACCCGATCAATCTAACCCATGTTCACCCCTAATAAGTACTGATGCACATATGGGACTCTGATCGAGGACCCGTCCAAACACATTTAAGGTGAGAAAGAAGCACATAAGCCTACGATTGGTTAAGACACAAAGGACAGATTTCCATTTAAAAAAAGTATCGTTTAGGACAAATCTTCATTTGGACCGTCAAAGACCCGAATAAGGTCCAGTCGAACTAGAACTTTATATATTTTAAACAATCTTATACAATTATAAGAAGAAAAAAGAAATGAACGGTTATGATCAATACAAACCCGACCCAAGTATGAAGAACCGATTTACAACTTCGCGACTAACCAGTCTTTGCACTTCAATGATTGAACCAACTTTTTTGGAATTGAGCTAAGGATCAATCTTTGTACATATGTATTCATAACCTAGATACCCTACAACAATTACTACATTAGACCAACCTTTGTTAAACTTTGATGGAGGTTGGACTAAATTATTATGAAGTTCTTATATTTTGGTCAATAGTGTAATAAATAAAATGTTTTGGACCGAAATTTCTAATGTATGATAGTCTAGGGCATTTTTTGTAACTTACTGAAAAAGTTTCATTTCTGGGTGTTCGATATAAGGAAACGAAACGAAACGAAACGAAACGAAACGAAGCTTTCGCATATGCTATCGACTATTATTCACTTTCATAGACGAGCAGGGTCAACGCCAATATTCCAAGCAAATCTTTTGCTTGATCATTTCTTTCGTAAACTTCATCGTTATCATCGGGATAATTGCGGTTCGATTCTTTCATTCATGATGAATGCTGAGTAATTAGTTGATTACTTGCTTACAAATTTGATGTACCATATACATGTTGAATTGAAGATTGTTTTCTATCGCAAAGCTTTCTGTTTTTTGTTATGTTTCTCTCTGGATTTGTAATGATATGTCTGAAGTTGTTTTGTTTGGGTGAAAAAATTGCCATTGATTTGTCAGTATATGTTATGATGGCTTGTTGATGCTGGTTAAGTGTACAATCGTGTTTGAGATCAAAATAATGAAGGTTGTAGTGGATGAGTTTACACTCGGTTTTAGTTATTTTTTTGGAGGATTTTTCTAGCAAAATTTTGTATTATTACTTGTAATTCGTCTTCTCAGTGACCGCAATGGTGGTGCCTGATTGGTTGGAGCTTGTCTCTAAAGGTTAAAAGTTCAGGAGGTCTAGGTTCAAATCCAAGGATTGGTTTGAGCTTGTCTCTAATGGTTAAAAGTTCAGGAGGTCTAGGTTCAAATCCAAAGAGGAATAAAAATCTCCGCCACGGAGGTTCAAATACGGTGACTCCGGGCTATCTGCAAAGCAGGTGGTCGCCATTAGTGGCTCGCATAGCGGGTTGGATACCCAGGTTAATCTAAAGAAAAAAACCGTCTTCTTCTATGTATTTGAACCTTGGTACTAGTTATAGCAAGCTTTTTGACTAGGCACTTTTAGTGGATTTAGGTTTGTTTAAAAAGAAGACCAACACAATGAAATTGGTCAAAAATGCAAGTTGCGTGTGTGCTTGATTGTTAGCATCAATGGTTATTGCTCTAAACAGGCTATGATTGTCAAAACAATTGCTTTAAGGAGTATTCTATTCATACCCCTCCTATAGGGGGTATGTGAGTGAGGAAGGGGGTAAGAAATGAGGCGGTATGTGAGTGAGGAAGGAGGTAAGAAATGAGGCGGTATGTGAGTGATGAGGGGGGTATGCATAGCAACCCTTCGCTCTAAATCATACCTAACTTTTCCCCCCTCAATGCAGCTACTGTTTTGATTATTCTACTATTTTTTTCTATAGCTTTCTGTTTACCAGTCTTCATTCTCTTTCCATTTTCTTAGCTGACACTTCACACTCTTGCACAAGCTGGTGTTCATAGAAACAACCGCTCTACCCTTCAGCTATGCCTGCATCCCACCACCATACCCACTTTCGAGTGGGGTATGCTATATTCATTTGGTTTGGTTTAATTAAGATGAAACATATTTTGCAAAATTAGGTTCAATTCTGTACATTCTAAATCGACGAAAAATTAGATTCAATTTTGTACTTTGAGGGTTCAAATGGATTAGATTTAAATTCCAAATTGACAAGAACTATTTTGAATAGAAAGAAAGATTAATCACTATATTATTTAGTTAAATGGTACTATAGTAGAGAATTCTGACCAGAATAAAAAGTATAAAATCTATGTAATTATCGACATTGAGAAGTACAAAGTTTGAACTTCAAAATAAAAAGTGGACTCTAATTTTGGGAGGTGGGAGTACTGTTTGGAGCAATAGTCCAAATAGGATCTGGGAGAACAAGGTTGAGTAGTCTATATGGGAAAGTATTTACTTGTGGTTTCCTACTCTGAAATCAAGACTGCAATATGATGTGACTATGTTATGGCAAAATTAATTGGCGAGTTTTGTGGGAAATGCAGCTGAACCTCTTATCTTTGTTTTCTTTCAGGAAGATGACATCAAGTAACTACGATGATGATAGGGAAGCTTCTAATTCTAGTAATATCAAGGTACCTGGATAATGAATGCTTCTATTCTGCTATTTTATTTACTTTAAAACCTCCCTTGTATCTCTTTATCTATAACATCTACTTTTCATGTATAGAATTTGTTCTCAACTATTATTAATAAAAATTCCCGTACCTGTAACTCAAGGTAACTTGCAAATCAGGCATCATAGCCCTTACTTTAAGTATTCACTTAGTTTTGTCTCCAAATGGTTGTCCTGCATTGCATCTTTAAGTTATGTTTAGCATAAAATGTACCAGCAAAAAACTCAAACATGATTCAATTCATTAGAAGTTGAATTGAAGTTTAAACATAACTTGATATACATGATAACAAATGTGACATGATTGGTATGATGTTGTTACTCACATGGGCCTAGCTTACTAAGATTCTTATTACTGAATTTGAACAGTCCTGACCTGGTCTCTCTCCCTCTCTCTCTCTACAGGGTAAGGTTGATCCAGCAAAACCAGGATCTCTTACTTGGAAGAGGAAACTGAACAGTGAGGCAAATCCCCTTTCAGAGTTTGGGTTAAGGTTCAAAGAAGTAATCCATCTGGTATGTATGTTATATCAACCTCCTCCTTGCGTAGTTATCTTAGTTCATGCTGTAATATAGTCTTTCAATTGTATGAAGACCTACAAGAGTGAAAATCATATGAAGTTTGCATGCTCTTATATTATGCATTCTAAAACAATGCTGTATGTTTCACTAGTTTTTATGCTGGTTGTATGATGAAAATATTTTTTTTTATTTCCTATGCTTGTATGAGGAGATGGTAAATTAAGTTCGAGAGCTTCCTCAGTTCCTTGATGTATCCAGTTCCACTAATGGTGTAGACTATCAGTGATGTAATTTGTTTATATTTCGTACAAAAAAGAAATGACTAATTGATCTAGAATAGGTTACATTTTTAATGCAGACCAAGGCCTTCTATGTCAATATAGAACATTTACTTTGTCAATAATTCTGACTTTTTTTAACTGTTTGTGTAGGCACCAATAGGATATCGCTTATGGCGTACCATAAGAGATGCTTCAAAGGGAAAAGGAAATGTGGTTCTCTAATTCATATCAATATCTTTAACGAGTACTTTAATCATCACGATACAATGACTTATACCATATTGTTTCAGGGAGCTTTTGTTGATCCTTTCAAGAAACGCCATTTTTCTTCTTGTAATGGTGTTCCTTTAGGTGGTATTGGGTAAGCCCCCTTTTTATAAGGATAAAAATTATATGCTTACTTATCATCTTGTAGCCAGGCTGTCATGTGCATGATACTTCTCCCATTGTAGGGCCTTTAAGGGCATGTGATACTCAAGCCTTTTCTAAAATTTTCCTTCAAAGCCCGACAGATAAACTAAAATTTTCTATCTACTTCTTCATTCCTTAAAAGAATTGAAACATTTGAATCTACTTCATAAAACGATTAAATAGTATTCACATGCCCAAGACAAACATAATGAAAAGGAAAGCACACAAAACGAGATGGATAGATCTGTGATGTAGTTCAAGTAGTGTTATCTTATTGTTGCCCCTTTGGTTTCTATGTGCACAAGATTAGTTATGAACCTTGTAGGTTTGTTACTCCTTTGAACCTGTTGCCCCCTCAAGTTGAAGCTTCTTTGGGTTCCTAGTGCCTTTTGGGTTACCCTTTTCATATCGCCTTCCTAAGCCTTCTTAACATGGTGTACCCTCCTATGGGCTTTAGACCCAAGGTGTTAAGGTGTGGTTGGCCTTTGTAGGTAACCTACCATAATATAGCTTTACTCATACAATCATTTTAGTTGTATTCTTCAAAGATTCCAGAATAAGCTATGGATCCTGATGATTGGCAGTCATCACGAAATCATCTTGAATATTGTACACAAGTCAAAATACTTTGTTAACCTTGGTGCTGATAAGATGTATTGGGATTTAAAACTATTATACCGTTGTAAATGATGTACAGGTATACAAGCTGAAGGAAAAATCTTTCGCCAACTTAAAACCATTGGAAATCCCAGTATGGAAATGGGATCATATCACCATGGACTTCGTGGTGAAATTACCCCAAATCAAGAAAGGAAATGATTCAATGTGGGTTATTGTGGATAGATTCACCAAGTTGGCACACTTTCTGCCCATAAAGGAAATCCATTCAGTTAAAGGATTATCATAACTATATGTGAATGAGATAGGGTCATGACATGGAGGCCCACCGTCAATACTGAGATAATAGATTTACATCTCAATTTTGGAGGAGTCTTCAAAACGAAATAAGTTTGCATCTTAATTTGAGCACAAAAAACCATATCCAAATTGACGGACAGAGCAAACAACCAATTAGAATATTGGAAGACATGCTCCGAGCATGTTAATCAATTTGGGTGCTAGTTGGTAGTTGGGATGACCACTTGCCATTAATGGAATTTTGTACAGCAAGAGTTACCATGTCAACTTAAGACCTGCACCATAGGAATCAGGAACCACCGCTGCTGCTACCACCACCAGTAGTCATTGATATAAGGAGTTTGAATTGAGTGTTTTATTTCTTCCCACCTTGAGTACAAGGTGAGAGCTGGGGGACGGGAATTATTATACCCTCAGTATTGTTGGACGTCAACTTGTCAATTTAGGTAGGTTGTGGTATAACCCGTTAGAATGATTTATTCTAGAAGGGGCCAGAAGTAGTAAAAGGAGTATAGCGGGAGTTTCTGTTAGCTTGGGGAGTAATAGATACAAATAAGTAGAGGAGAGCATCTAAGGAGCGTGTCTGATTTTTGTAGCGGAATTGTGGTGTGGGCTATGAGACCTCCAGCTCCTCAAATTGCTGGAAGTGAATGACAATCTTTCATTACTTGGGACTAATTGTGTCTGATTCACTATTTATCAGTTCCTTTTACATATTTGTGTTTTACTTGCATATTTGCTTGGTTGTATTGATAGATCATTGTATACCAAGTATCGACGCATTTGTATGGTCTGCTTTTGCTAGATCGTGATTGCGGTTCCGGCTAGGTCAAGATTGACCAAGTACGTTTAGTTGAAGTTCCATTGTTTCACTGTCTGGTGCACTCATCCTTCTTGGAGATCCTACTATAGCAGTAACCTTTCCCCTTTGTTATGTACTCTTTTTGTTATTTAAATTGCATGACAGCAGCATGCTCATGAAAGGATTAGGATGGGTGCCTAGCTAATGATTACATGGATGATATTTGTGCTGCTTACAAATAATTGATCAAGGACCTCCATTTATCTCCACATATAGCTATCACACACACATGTAATCTTCCTTTTTTCCCTCTCCTTTCTGGTGGCTGAAAGAACACATTTGCCAGTGCAGGTAGCATCGGAAGGACATATAAAGGCGAATTTTTGCGTTGGCAACTCTTTCCTAAAATATGTGAAGACAAACCAGTATTAGCAAACCAATTTTCAGTAAGCTTTTTTTTTTGGTGTCAAAGGTTCATTATGCAATATCCTTTGTGCTACTCATTATGGAAATTGTTGTACTGTTTGAAATGTTCGTGTATGAGAGTCATACTTTTTTTGTCCCTCACAATTGGATATCCTTCTACTATAAGTTTCTTCTTTTGAGGTGCAATGGTGAATTGGCGATGGCGTGTTTCTCCTTCCAAAAGAGATATTGTAATGCATTTGGATGGTTAGATGTATTGGTTTGAAAACTCATTTTGCTGGGTAATAGATACATTGGTAGTTATTTTTTTATAACACATTTCGAGGGGGTATATATAGGATTCTATATTTCATAAACTGATGACATGCATGAGAGCCATAGAAAATGGTAACATACACGTTCAACATGTACGTGAAGCCGTGAAGGTATTCAGACCTCATTTGAAAGAAAGGAGGTTTCTACTACTATAGTAGGTTATATACTGCACCTCAACTCTTGATCTGTCACTACAATTTAATTTTGGCAGAAATGAATTATATTGATTGAGAATCTCAAAGAGATCCATAATTAAGTTGCAAATGCCACATTTGCTTATATACAAATAGACAGGGCCGATGGAATTACTATTGGCTTACCTAACATGTGCAAGGGAACTTGTTCATGACTGCCTGTATCTCACGCTTTGAAGAATGAGTGCTGATAAATTACAATTGAAGTTGCACGGTAGATAAAATTCACAGAAATTTAAGCTTATTGAAATATCATAGAATGCAATTTGGAGAAATAAACAAGTTTAGAAAATAGTAAGCTGTAAATCCACCTTTTTCTTCATCTTGGGATTTCTTACTGCCAATATATTGGCGATCACTCTTCATCTTACAGTAGTATTATTCCTGCACAAGCATTACAATGGAAGCCAAGAAGATTGTCAGTTTGCCATTCCCTTCAACTAAAAGTTGCAGGGTAAACGATAAAGTTGTATTTTGGAGGTGCGTATAGATGTGGATTGGCACGAGTTAGTTGATGACTTTGAGAATGGATCAGAAAATGCAAATTACCCTTATCAATTAAATCCATGTAGTTTGTGTGGCAACAAGTTGTTCATGAGGTGTTAGTTACATATGTAAATTAAACAATTTATACAATACAACTAAACACAAATATATCAACATTTAACCGTATGTTAAATTGATTGACACAAAAAACAAGCTAAGAAGCGTCACATCTATAATAATAAGAAAGGTCATTCTGGAATACTGAATTTGAATTTAGATATTTAAGTGTCAAAGCATATATTCACTAAAAAATAGAAGTTTAGTGTCACATGTAAGAACTTAACACCTGCCCTACTCTTACAAGAAAAACTGATACACTGTCACAATAGAGTAAAAATGTAATCATTAAGCACATACTGTGGTTACCGATGAGAAGAGGAAGAAGAATGGAGGGGAACAAAAAATAAAAGAAAAGTAAACAAAGAGGAAGCAGAAAATGACTTACCGATGAAAGGAGCCACAGATTCAGCCCGTGAAGAAAACATTACTCTAATTCTAGTTCATCTAATTCAATCATCTGCCATATAGGTCTTAAATGGGTTTGTATATTGTTTTATTACTCAAAAGGTAAGTTTCTCCATTTAAATTTGTTTTATTGGGCTAGATGTGATCCCACCACCTCCCCTAAGACATCCTTTAGGGTGAGTCGATGACATGCTAATGCCACTGCCAGGAAGCCAAGTCATTGCTATGGCAAAGCCATAGCACCTATGGTTCATTTACTTGTCAGTGGTTACTCAAATTTGATAGTTTTGCCTTCTGAAACAAGTTCTAGCCTCTTAGAGATAATATATTTAGTTTATAAAGCTCATGTGAATTCATCTTTGAAGGCTCAAGAGAGAGGTTGGATAGATCACCAGTAGAAGAATTAGACCAAAGACTAGGATACATCATGGGTAAACATTCCAAAGGTGAATGGAGCCTTCTATTTGACCAGACTATCACAAGTAACCAACCATTTCACCTGGAGAATGTGTATGTTTAAACATTATTAAACAAATTTATGGAGTTTCCTTACAGCACAGAAGTTTTCATCCACAATACATGTACCTTATAAATGGTGTCAGTGAGGTTATCATGATTCTAATGTATTTTGAACACATCATGTGTTGGCTTGAGGGATACTGAGATAGATCACATTTCTAGTCTATTTGACACAACCATGTGTTTGTAGCATCATTCTAGAATTAGTAGTTATATCCCAAGAACATATGGATGAGTGTCCTTCCAATAGTGGAGGGCGTCTTCTTTGATTCACAACCCTGTAATTCTGTCTATGATTTCGTCAGTGTGTGCAGGTGGATATTTTTGGTTTGTGTCTACAAGATCCATTCTGAGGCTGATACACATTCCTTATCACTTTGTTTAGGTGTTTGTATCACGACCAAATGGAAAGAAGTATTCGACTGTTCTCTGTCCACCAAACCCAGAAAAGTATGCAAATTTTCCTTCTGTCCTGAAGTACTCATACCTTTTGCTCGTATATGCAAATTTATGAAAATCTGTTATCATGCAGAAACATAAGGCAATATTTAGACCACTAAATCTTATACTTGTTCACCAATTTGGATTTTCATCTAAGAAAATTACTATTCTATCCTGAATTCATAAATATATTATATAGATTGTCAAAGTATATGTCTTGACCCTAAGATTAAAAAGGTAACATTCTGTTTTGCTTTTTCTTTGATATATAAATCTTGCTGCATTTGTATTTGTTTTCTCAATTTTTAATATTAGCATTTGCAACAAAAAAAAAATCTATCATAATGTTTAATGACGAAATAAGCAAAAGAGAAGTGGAAGCTTCACCAAAAGTAATTTTATGAAAAAAAATCTTGTTTCCAACTATGTAATGAATTGAAATGAAATTTGGAAAAGTGCAATAGCATAAAAATGGGAAGGAGATTGGTCAAGCTTTAGAATAGAAACTCAAGGGGTTAAAATTGCCCACATGTCCAATGAATATTAAATTGGGCTTGCCAGTAAAGGTAATAGGACTGTGAATATCAATTTCCAATGTAAATAACCAAAAGTAACTATTAAAGTACTAGTGATAAGATTCTTTTCAATAGGTGCGAAAAAATGGGTTTGTGTGACCTCCATAGTATTACCACCTAGGGGAAAAAGGGATGTTAATATACCGGTCTAGCTATTTGTAAGGACTGAAGTTAATTTTGTCATAAATATCTACAAACATAACATCTTGATATATTATATAGGTAAAAGGAAGTGTTATGTGTAAATTTTGAATAAAAGCATGTTTTGCGCTACTCCATTTGATTAGCTAAAATCTGTGATCACCGAGAATAATTTTAGAAAAAAATTGTTGAATTCATTCAATTTTCTATTAAACATATAAAACAACCCAGGTAAAGATTGATAAAAAGTAGAAAAAATCAAAAGGCTCTTTTAGTTTGGGATAAAACCAAAATCCAAAAGTCTCGTCGTATTTTGGATATTGTATTCTCTTGACAAATGTTGTTTGATTCTTGTCCTTGTTTTGGCTCTATTATGATGATATTCTGCTTGGGAAATACCTTCTCTCCCTAATTGATAGATAGGAAAATGAGAGAGGAAGATAACACCTTTCATGGTATTCATCTTGTATGTAAGAGTGAATGAAAGCGAAACTGAGGTACTGTGATTAAGCAGAGATAGTTCAGTTCATGGGATTGGATCTTGGGACTGGAACTTTAGTGGACACAGTTCTACATACCATGCATTATACCCAAGGGCTTGGACAGTGTATGATGGTAATTCTCATCATCTTTGTTCCTAAAAGGATGATCACTGCTCTAAGTTCAACTTTCTTGTTGCTCATCAACCTATTCCCTTCAATGTAGGTGAACCTGATCCAGACCTGAAAATAGTTTGTCGTCAGATTTCGCCAGTCATCCCCCATAATTATAAGGAAAGCAGTCTTCCTGTAGCAGTATTTACTTTCACGGTATGATATGTCTCTTACAGAGTTTTATGCGTTCTATTTTTTAACTTTGGCTGGATGAGATAACATCAACCTAGCATTGGCTGTGATCTCCTTTAGCTGTCAAACTCAGGAAAGACTGCTGCAGATGTCACCTTGCTATTCACATGGGAGGTAAGCTTCTTTATTTGCAGTTCTCTTGCAATATCTTACTTATAGTATTGTTATTCCGGGTTTAAATGTCATCATTTTCATAAAGAAATAACATCAATCTCTTTGAAGTCTTATGTCTTGATAAAATTATTCTGACAGAACATTACAAATTTCTGTATGTTGATTTTTTCACTTCTTTCAGAATTCTGTTGGTGGACCCTCTGGATTATCTGGTCATCACTCCAATTCAAAGATGACGTAAGAATTTTGTATATTTCAACCCCATATCGTACATCTATATCTGCTTCCAGATTATTGATTATCTACCTAAATAGTTGATATATTTGGTCATAAATATTGTTCGAGAAAGTGTAAACTTCTCATAATTTATTTTACGTCTTTTGGCGAAGAGTAGCCAGACCCAGATTTTTGTTCTGACCTTTACTTTATATTATCAGGGTGAAAGATGGCATTCATGGTGTACTCCTACATCATATGTAATACTCTTCTTGACTAATTGATCCAAACGTAGTCCTGAAGTTCAATGATTTGTCGTTCCATGCTTCATGTGTCTCATCATGCATGTCAATACAGGACTGTGGATCGCCAACCCCCAGTAACCTTTGCTATTGCAGCACAAGAAACAAATCATGTCCACATTTCAGAGTGCCAGTCGTTCGTGATATCTGGAAACACCCAGGGCTTCACAGCAGAAGACATGTGGCATGAAATTAAAGAGGTTGGTTTAACACTCTTCTGTAAATATGTTGTTCATTACATAGAAAGCAACTGCTTGGTGCTCGCTTCATAACTACCATTCCATCTTACTGTCTCTATGTATTAACTACAATTCGTTTGATTAGCCGAGGTTGCAGGTAAATAATGCTGTCAGAGAATTTTTCTTATGCACTGCTTTCCATCTTGCTTCATCTATTTGAGAGAATACTTTTACTTGTATGCATTTATTGCTGAAATTGATGCTCCGATTTTGAGTAGCTACCCATTTGCTTCTTCTTCAGTCTCTGAGACTTGCTTTGTTTGAAGTAGGTGGAGCACTTGGACCTTTCTTATATATAAGATCCCTATGGTTCACCTATGTCAAATAAGCCAACAAAATGTAAAAATTAAAAAGCCGAAAGTTATAAACAGACATAAACTTTGTTTATGAAGTAAAAGTACTTCATATTGATTACATACTCCAAGTTACCTTATCTTTCTCTCTAGTTATCATGTCAATATTGTATGATCTCAAATGGATAAATATGATCATTTGTCTAAGTGAAAGGTAAGATGGACATAACTGTTTATGTGTATGAATTTTCCTTGGTTAATAGATCATGCCATGCATGTGCAAATGGACTCTTTCATCCATTTTGGAAAGAATTTATTTTCTCTCTACGCCCTGTTGGAAATGTTGCTATTCTTGTAGACAGACTTTCATCTGTGACTTTTATCATTCAGAATGGCTCCTTTGATCGCCTTGATTCCTCTCAACTACCAATGGTCTCAGAACGGGGCTCCTCTATAGGTGCAGCTGTTGCAGCTTCTCTGACCATACCATCTGAGGCAGTGCGTACCGTTACATTCTCGCTGGCATGGGACTCTCCAGAAGTAGTCTTTCCAACCAGGACTTACCACAGGTGGGTGACCAAACCTTATCTGGAACTTTGTGATATATCAAACAATCTAACATGCTTCTTATAAGGAATGTTTTGTTATAGGCGTTACACCAAATTTTATGGTTCTCATGGGAATGCTGCAGACAAAATTGCACATGATGCTATTCTTGGTAATGCATTCTTGTTTATTATGGACTGAAGCCAAATTTGGTCTATGATACTTTTGAATCATGATCCCTATGGAAGTACTTAATATCAATTTGTTTTCCGCATCTCTGAAAAGTTGCTTGTACATTGAAATTTCCAATTTTCTTATCTGAAATTTAGAACATGGTAACTGGGAGGACCAGATAGAAACATGGCAGAGGCCTATCCTTGAAGACAAGAGGCTTCCTAAATGGTAAACTTTAGTTTCTTTTCCTTTTTATTGCCCATGCTCTCTCATCCTGAACTCCTAATGGCTTTTGCACTTTGCAGGTACCCAATCACTCTTTTCAATGAATTATACTATCTCAACTCAGGAGGGACAATTTGGACTGGTAAACCCAATCTTTGTACATCACATTTATCAAATGAAACCAGCTCAAGTTCATCATCTATGTTTGCAGATGGACTACCTCCAGTACACAATTTATCAAGCATTGGGGGAAGAAAGTTCTCAATTGATAGATCTAACATGGATTTTCAGAACAATGGTGATATATCTCATCAAGATGACACTGCTGTTAACGTTCTTCAAAGAATGACTTCAGTACTTGAGGAGATCCATGAACCAGCATCAAAGAACTCGGCATTTGGCACAAATCTTCTGCAAGAAGGAGAAGAAAACATTGGCCAATTTCTCTATTATGAGGGAATAGAGTATCATATGTGTAACACATATGATGTCCATTTCTATGCATCCTTCGCCTTAATCATGCTATTTCCCAAACTTGAACTCAGTCTCCAGCGAGACTTTGCAGCTGCTGTGATGATGCATGATCCCAGGAAAATGGATATTCTATGTGATGGAACTTTGGCCTCAAGAAAGGCCCTTGGTGCAGTTCCACATGACATTGGGATGATTGATCCATGGTTTGATGTTAACTTCTATAATATCTTCAATACAGACCAGTGGAAAGATCTGAACCCAAAATTTGTCCTGCAAGTTTACAGGGATGTGGTTGCCACAGGAGACAAGAATTTCGCACGAGCTGTTTGGCCCTCCGTTTATATTGCAATGGCTTTCATGGAGCAGTTTGATAAAGATGGTGACGGGATGATTGAAAATGAAGGCTTCCCTGATCAGACATATGATACATGGTCTGTCTCAGGTGTCAGTGCATATTCTGGTGGACTATGGGTAGCAGCATTGCAGGCTGCCTCTGCAATGGCACGTGAAGTTGGCGACAAGGATTGCGAGGATTACTTTTGGGCAAAGTTTCAGAAAGCAAGGACCGTGTATGACAAGCTATGGAATGGTTCTTACTTTAATTACGATGACAGTAATGGGAGAGGAAGTTCATCTATCCAAGCTGATCAGTTGGCTGGCCAATGGTTTGTTGCTTTTGATACCCCTTGGTTTAATAATATCAACTAATTTCTCTGTCCCATGAAACATATACAACTTTCCCTTTTGAGATGTCCCATGAAAATTGCAACATCTCCTTTCTGGTGTCTTTAATCTAAAATTACTTGCTTGCCCATCGTCATCATTAGAAAGAATGGATGATATTAACTTGGGATCACTAAATTCTCTCATTTTGTTATTACTAAAGGGTAATTAAGACATTCGGTTGATAGCCAAACATTTCTCTTAAACTATGTTTTGTGTCAAATGTTGCAATTTTCATGGGAGATGAAGTATTTTAGACCATTTAGACGAATGAAATTGAAGGCACTTGGGTAATGTGTTTGTAGGAGTTGATTATATTCACAAAGGGTTTTGAACAATCCCAAAAGTGTACTCTCTCAGCCTTAAATGCACCTTTTCCTTACCCTGACATCCGAAAATGATTTCTTTACATTTCCACCCTCAGTTATAAGCCTTCTGATGCAATTGAAAAGGGAATCGGGGATACTGTAGGTTTCATAGAAGTTTGTATGCAACATTTCGCTAAAGGGGTGTAAAGACGTAACTTTTGTTTGCAATTTAGGGAGTATATTGTGTTAGTTCTAGGGTTCTAATTTTTAGGCTAATAAAGAGAAGGAGATTTCTACTACTTATTGCTTTCAAGGCGAGTGATCTCTATCCTTAAAGCAATTTCGCCCTCACCATATGTGTTTTGGGATTTTGGCGAATTGCTTCTCAAGATACAATGAAGCAACGTATGTAGAACGATTACCAACACTACACTAGTGGTGATAAACCCGGTTGAACTATTGAGTTTCAAGGATTTAAAGAAACTAAGAAGTTGTGTTTCTATAGCAACACAACCCTTAGCAATCTGGTATATGTAAAGAGAAAAGTGTAAAAATCGATTTTTAGTGTCTATGGATAGGTATATATAGGCATAAGCGACAGCTTCTTGAACAGTCACCATTCGCGACGGTTCGAACAGTCACAACTGTTCGAACGGGTGCCAACCGTGACGGTTTAATCTTTTTGCGACGTTTCGAACAGTCGCAACCATTCCAACAGGTGCCATATTTGACACTTGAACCGTTGCATCCGTTCATCACACCCTTTGATGCGAACCGTCGTGTCTATTCACGAAGAGGCACCATTTCAAGGCCAACCGTCGCAACTGTCACTAACGAATTATGGACAATCGGTTTGAAGCAAAAGGGTTAAGGCGGCTACAAGCGACTCGCGGTGACGCACATCAAAGCGCCACATTGCGCCCACCCCCACGGTCGCGCGCGTAAGGGTGCATATTGTGGAAGCCCCATCATTTTCCAATATATTAAATTAATATATAGAAAATGCTTCCCCTTATATACCCACTTGGATTTCACTCTTGCTCCTATGTGGGACAAGGAGAAACCCACCAAAATCATCTTTTCTCTTTTTCTAAAACCTAACCCAAAAAATTTTATTTTTATTTTGAAAATATTCCCAACATATTGTTTTCTGAAAATGCTCTTGTGAGTTGCATGCCTATATTATTTTTCCTTGGAAACTACTAGCAGTAATGTTTCACCACCCTTTCTTCTCGGGGAACTCATTTCCACTGCTAGAAATTGTTAGGATCGTGTTTTGCCTACATATCCTGTGTATATAGCAGGAAATACATATCCTGCATATCCATGCATATATATATGGAAAGTTAAGTACAAGCTCAGTTTGGTTACAATGGAAGTGTAGATGCATATCAACTTGTAATGATGATGATTGCTTCTTGTAGGTATGCTCGAGCATGCGGCCTTTTTCCCATTGTTGATAAAGAGAAGGCCAGAAGTGCACTAGAGAAGGTCTATAACTTCAATGTATTGAAAGTGAAGAACGGTAAGCGTGGAGCTCTTAATGGGATGCTACCCAGCGGAGAACCTGATATGTCATCCATGCAGTCGAGAGAAATATGGACTGGAGTTACTTATGCTGTTGCTGCAGGCATGATTCATGAAGACATGATTGATACAGCTTTCCAAACTGCAAGTGGAGTGTATGAGACTAGTTGGTCCAAAGAAGGACGCGGGTAAGCCTACTTAATGAGCCTTACAGTTTTTTCCTGGGTGATCTACTTTCTGAATCATCATACAAACCAGCTTCTTGCTAAAATGCCAAAAAAAAACTGCACTAAAAAATGAACATTTTTTGGACAGAAAAAGTCAAGTATGATGGTAATTTTTTTGCATTTTGTAGTGTTATGCGTTTTTGCAAGAATGGTGGTCTGTTAGCAATAAAAAATAAAGTATGATCCCTTGGAAAAGTTCGTCCTTTCTACACCAAATTTTTATAGGCTTCCCATGAAAGTTGCAACACTTGACCATCGAATGACTAATATATTGTTCATTAGAATCTTGTGACCAAAACCAGTACTCTTCACGTATACAACAACAATGGCTAATAGGTAATTTGGCATGGAATTTTACCCAGAAGCAACTAATATGGAACTACCCATATTAGAAAGCATAGCAAGTTTTGTTGGATGGATGGAGTACCACATATCGTCTATAAATGGAAATATACACTACAATAAAATTGGTTGTATAGGACGTCATATCATGTCTACGTGTCCCAATTAGGACTTAAGTTTACAGGACCAAACAATTGTGTGTTTTATACATATGTGTTATTATAAGTTGATAGGACCCCTTTGGGCGTCCTAACAAGTTTCTTAAGTCAATTTTGAAGTAAACGTCATATTAAGCTTTTTATATAACATTATTTAAAGAAGTGCCTTACAAAACCAAGTGTCTTATAAAAAAGATGTGTTCATAGGACACTTCTCAAAAGTGTCCTATCAAAAAATATTTATAGGACACATTATTCAACAATCTCCTGAAAACTTGTTAGTATGCTCAAATACATCCCAACATTCCAATATAATATATTTATATAGGACGATCAATTGTTTGGCCCTCTACACTTTAAGTCCTATAAAACAGTCTATTATGACATTTAAACATCTTTGGCGTCCTGTATAGCCGATTTTGTTGTAGTTACAGGCTATCAACAAATAGGCTTCTTTTGTAACTTGTGCATTAGTAATTGACATGACTGTCCTTTCCAACATGCAGCTATGCTTTCCAAACCCCAGAAGCTTGGAACATAGATGGGCATTACAGGTCTCTGGCATACATGCGGCCTTTGGCAATCTGGGCAATGCAGTGGGCACTATCACAACCCAAAACGCCGAACCAGGAACCAAAGCCAGAGGTAAATCCTGAATCTCTCTTTAAGCAACACGCTGGATATACAAGGGTGGCTCGTCTTCTGAAGCTGCCAAAAGAGCAAGATTCCAGAGGCATCTTGCAGATTCTTTTCGACTACACTTGCAAGAAGCTGGTATGAGGTTCTCGGCTTCTGCTTACATTATTATTCTTCTTCATATTGATGACCATGATTTCAGAAACTCCAATCCTTCACATATGAATAAACCCACCATGCTATGGAAAAATCATAATTGCAGATCAAAAGGTTAGGGATGAAGATGTTTTTTGTATATTTGAGTTCACACGTAATATCTACTTGCATACTTACCAACAATTACTCTACATCGTTTGTCTTGCATCATGTGTCACCCCCCCCCCCCCCTGATTGGTTCGTTCTATGGATAGTCATGAATCAGACTCTACCATTGTGTGGGATTTAATGGGTCTGTTTGATTTGGTTTTGGTTAATTTCAAAAGGAGTGAACTTTAAGATGCTATGATAACTATTTAGGTAATAGATGACCATTAGCACACAGAAACATCTTAAGTAACACTCCAAAACTTGATTTTACTCCTTCACTCTACCCATCAGACTCAGGATTCACTCCCAGCTCTATCTCCAACTCCTTTAAGTAAGTGGCAAATTAATATTGGGCATGTAATGAGATAATGGGTAAGCCACAAGGTTTAGGGGTGATCATCTGTTGAAATCCAATGGATTTGGATGGATCCAATCATCCATTGCATTTTGGATTCTACCATCCATTCAATCTAATTCAATTAACATTGGACAACTGATCCAATAGGATAGGATCGGTTCCATCTATTGAATTTTATTATTATTAGTTATTCATTGGATAGGATTGGATCCACCATTTCAACCAATTATTTATACATTTTCCTATTCTTTGGAAAACCCTACATACAGATATAAACTGAAAGCAATATTGTCAGGTATTATATATATATAGGGTCAGGTTCAAATGAAAATCACAAAAAAATGAAAAATCGAGGAACACCTTGGTTTATTCATCTAGACAATATGCACATGTGCATACAAGTATTCGTAAGCAATTTGTCCGGTATGCACACATGCATAAATACCAAGAAACAACTTCAGATACTTGTATGCACATGTGCATATCGTCCAGATGAATGGTTACTATGATGTTTCTTAGTTATTTATTTTTTTAGGGTTTTCCTCTGAATCTCCCTCCCCCCTCTCTCTCTCTCTATATATATATATATATCTATATCTATATATATATATATATATATATATACTAATTGGATGATAATTAAATGGTAACTAGATGAATAATTGGATTGAATCAGTTCAGTTTTATTGGATCATGCACTGCTATCCAAGAACCAACTGATAAATTTGAATGCTAAAATCTTAGATCCGATCTTATCCAATTCTAGTCGTTCGGTTTTAATTTTATTGGTCGAATTAATTGGATTAAATGATTTAAAATTTATGAAGTTGGTTGATAAAAGCAATGGCAATTGCAACAACTATGCACAGGATGTTTAGATCATTTAATGAATGGGAGACATGTGCTTTTAACTTAGGCATCGCACAATTTACCTCATCAAATTAGCGTTAAATTCCAGGATCCCCCTCGTTATAAAAAGGGGTTGGATCAAATACAGAGTTGAGAACCAAACTCTTAAAACAGGAAGTTCTACTGCAATCCAATAATATTTATAAAGAAAACGAGATGCAATGTGTTTATAATTCGAATGGGGTATCACATGATCCACAAAGTAATACAACGAACGTAGAAAATAGTATTACGGAAAGTATAAAGCTTATAATGTTTTCTAGAAGCTTTTTTGTTTTTGGCCAACTTGAAATTGTCATTTTGTAACGTTGGATGTAAAACATTTTTTTGAGTTGAAACTTTAACTTGGCTTGCATTTGAAAATTCTCTTAATTGTTGAAAGATGTTTGCTTTCGATTACGTAATTTAGAGATTCTTGAATCTTTTTTTTCATATGATTTTGTGACTGAGACTTGAATTGGAACTTTTCTTAAACTTATATTATCTTTTGAAGTCATTATTGCCGGAGGTCTTGCAATCATTCTGCAGTTGGATAATCTATATATATATTAAAGAATAAACCACATGTAATGATGTGGCATCTTCTTAAAACAAGAAAATGTTTTATCTTTTTTCTCCTTTTTTCAAGCTTTTCCTACCTCAATATTTGTTTTTGATTTTTAATATTCACATTTAAGATCTTTTAATTAGGTTGTTTCAACCTATTCATGTTCCCTCTAATAATTACTCTTTTAACTCTCATTATTTCTCTCTATTTGGTTACAAATTTTCATTTTCTCTTCAAGGTAAACCTCTATAATAATCTCTCAAT